CCACATTCTTTTGTTATTTTCTTTGGTGGAATTGTCCTGGTTAGAGCTATTTCAGTCTCTCTTAAACAAACTTAATAAGGAAAGAAAAAAACAAAACAAAAAAACACTTATTACTAGTTTCATCCCTTAGAATTATGGTAGCCATTTCCATAATTAAGTAAAGAATTCTCAGTCTGAATTATCTTTCAAGCTGTGAGTGCAAAATGCACTCAAAGAAAACCRTTTATTTAAAAATATTTCAGTATTTAATTGTTCTTTACTAATAGGGTACCACCTCACAACTAAAAGAGTATTCTTTTTCAAAATAATATCTTTTTATAACATTATGATCTTTATTTACAAGACATTCTTTATCCAAATGAGGAGTCTCAAAATACTCTCCAGACTACAGTATTAAATTTTAATGGGTAACAATTATTTTYATTACTGATGTGCTCCCTGCTTGTTCACAGGTATAAACTTCAATATCTCTAATATACAGATTACTGTAAGACTAAAGAGAACTGCTGCCATAATCCACAGGGATGGTAACTTCCCAGYCCATTTTCTCTATAAGTAGATTATTATCTCCTTCCCCTCATCAACACCAAGAAGTTCTAATAACTGTGAGAACTGAATGAAAACAAATTTGGTTCTAAATGATTAATGCCTCTTGCTTTTTTTTTTTTTTCTTAAATCTTTGTAGGTGTGATCAGCAATATCCTTTGTGATGTTCTGGTTCTTGGTTATTCCAGCATGGGATCTTGACATGGGATATGCATGTCATACCTCTAAAATCTGTGCAATTTTGAAAATAGAAGGCCACAYAACAGCATTAACTCTTTTATTACCACTCATTTTTTTCTATTGTTTAATTCCTTTGCCTTTTTCCTTAAATAAGCTCCATTATAAAGATCCCACAAACAAATCGAACATGCTCAAATGTGAAATAACAAAGCACGGCCAATTTGGATGAAATAAAGGAATAGTTTTTGCTGTAAATAGATGATTTTCATAACATTAATCATCTTTCATTAAGCATTACTGTTAACAACCAGAGTGTTAACACCATCAAAAAAAAAAAAAAAAGTCCCTCTTGGATTAATTTCAGGTAGCCATACAGATACTGCGCTCAAAACAAATAGATAAATAAATAATAATAAATTAAAAAAAACAGAAACACCTGGCTTAAAAGTGATTGGCAGGTCAGTCTTTAAGAAACTTTGAGGATTTGCCTCTTCATCTTCAGCTGTATATAAGAGGGTTAAGTCTGCTCTTTGCAAAGATCTTTGGCATGATCTTCAATGACAAATGACATGCTACCATATGCCAAAAAAAAAGGGGAATACAGTCACCCCCAGCCTCAACTTTAACTGGAGCTGCTTTGTTCCCAATGCCCTGAATAATTAATAACTACTTTGGCAATCAGTCATGCATTCCTTAATGGCACCTCAGGCATCAAGTGTCCCATTCACCCGCTCCCCCAAGTAACAATGGACTTTATTACCTCCCGTTTGGATGCCAAACTTTAACTGACATAACTTAAACTAAACAAGTCGCTGGGAGGACTGAGGCCCAACACGCTCCAATCTCTTACAAGGTTTCCTTCAATTGCAAGCGGCCACTAACAGATTAGAGCTGCACCTGGGGCAAGCGAGAAGGTGGGGGGGCCGAGATGGAGCATAGATAGCATTTGCAATAAAATTCCAGAAGGTTTGATATGATGCTGCCAAATACATGGGTTTTGATAAAAACAGAAATACAGAGTCACTAAGTTACCCTTAGTGAGTGATGCAGGTCCCCAGTAATCACAGCCTAAGTGATAGGGCACAGTGTGAAATGGAGTACCCAGAATAACAGTGGTGTTGAGCATAGCACAGGAATTTCAAAGTAACACAAACTAGAATCCTTAGTAAGAATAAACTTTTCAGTGCTTCCATTTTATTGCATTCTCCCCCTCGCCTCCCACCAAAAAAAACTTACAACGATATAACAGAGGGAAGGAAAGTATAGTGAGACCAAAATGGCAGAAAGCGCCTGTTAAGAAACCTGGGCGCCACAATTTCAAGTGAAGAAATTCAAGTAATAAGACTCTAATCATCTAGCACTCAAATTAAATCTTCCCGCCTTGCTCAGGGACCCCTCTGCATGTAGACAGCTCATGCACTGCGTTCACACAAGGCACTACAAACCCGCTGTGAAGCTCTCCATAAACTGATGTTGAATCCAGGGACATCGGAACTGTTGGGAGTCCTTTTGACCGACTAAATGTTAGAGGGAGAGCAATCAGATCGATAGTCACTCTCCTGCTACTTATTCACCCTCTGAAAAGTTGGTTTGAAATATAATATACAAAGTAAAAATACATATCAGCTATAAATTACAGCAGATTTAAACAAAGCCATTTCTCTTTCTCTTTAAAAGACCTGAAATGTGTCCAGTGCCCCTCTCYGTGTGTGGCCTCCAAATACAGAAACAAGCTTGCACTGTTTTATTTCAGTTTTGCTTCATTTCTCCCCAAACAATCTCTCATTGCTAGCCTACCAGGCCTCCCACCCTCCTCTCCTCTCAAAAAGAAAAAAGAAAAAAAAAGAAAGAAAAAGAAAAGAAAGATCTTTAACTGTTTAGGACCAATTCATTGAACTGAATCATTCTGTGAGTCAGTTATATTTTAGCAGGGATTATTTATACTTCAGACATTCCTATAGTTGGCATCTTTTATTTTGGGGAGCTGTAAACTTTTATTCCTCTTACAACATAAGATGATACAGCATTAGAGTCTTAAAGACTGTAACGACAGCTTCTTGACACCAGTTTTCTTTACATCTAGGTACACTGAAGCAGGTCCAATCCTGCCACTCACCAGGAGTTGGACTGACAACCTGCAAAGTGCAACCATGCTCTGCACCCCTTACTAGGGCCAAACTGTTCATGAGAAAATCAGATCCCTGTTAACTACAGACTCGGGAACTAATTCTCACAAACTGCAAAAAGAGTTGTTCTACTAAGCGTTTTGAACCCTGTTCTGAATTCCTCTGTCATGAAGGGGACTCTTCATTGTCACATATGAGAGACACAACACAGCTTAATTTCTTATATAGGGCATTTTTAAGCATATAAGTTGCTCTCATGGACTRAACTAGGGATTAGAAAAAAAATGTATCCTCTAGCCTCGGCACTGCCTTTGTCTACTGAATTAATGTTGACTTAAAAAAAACACCTCTGATCATCAGAAGTTTTCTTTGGAAACGTTGATTATTTAAGTATTATAACCAGTTTTTCCAATCACATGTAGAAGAATAAAATGAGCATGGCATAAAGGTAGTTATTATACAAAAACTGGATAGAAAATGGATACATAAATCATAGTACATAGACAGACATGCAGCAGGTGGGATGTAGTATTAGACAGACAACAACAAAATCTGGTATTAGTCCACACAAAACATCTATTTAGGGATTTTCTCTTACTGCTTTCTAAAGCAAACATACTTACTACATTCTGCCCTCAGGTATACATAACTTTAAAATTGGCCTTCCTCCAAGCTCGTTTGCAGATTGATTAAAATATTTTTGATTCCAAAATTCATCATTATCAGATCATATATTCTACTAAGAAAAGGGTCTAATATGAAAAGTCAAGTATTCATCTTYCTTATTTTAAGAATTTTAGTTTTTAGGTATTTAGGCCCAAATTTTTATAAATACTTAAAGAAAATACAATAGGAAATAATGAATATATACAGTACCACATTTCACAGAGATCATTATCAGTGTGCTCTCTCTGTATTTTTCATATATATATATAAAGGATTAAGTACTTCTGCAAAGATGCACATAATTGTTCTTTGTTTCTTCCCAGTAACTGAAGCTTTGCAAAACAGAGAAAAGACAAAAATGGCAAAAGCAGCAAGTGAGCCAAGTGTGTTTTGAGTGAAGCACATGTCAATGGGGTTACATGGATTCTTTTGATCAGCTTCTTTATTGAGCTTGCAAATATTTTCCATGAACCAAATGCCACAGACCACAAGACGGCTTAGGGGATATAAAGTGAATTAGGAGAAATTTTTATATATATATATATATGTGTGTGTGTGTGTGTGTGTGTGTATATACACACATATATATTTACACATATATATGTGTGTGTGTATGTGTATAATTATTATTAAAAAAATATATTTTCTTACTCTCTTTAAATTCAGAATATCTATTCTAAAAGAAGTCAATTCCTGTTCTACTTTACTCCTATGTTTCAGAACATTGCCTAATCCTTGAAAAATCTAAAAGCATTGTTTTTGCTAGCATAAAGGTCCTATTTGATGAAAAAAAAAAGGTAACAGAAACCTACTGACAATTACTAGTTGCATTTTAGAGACACAAGTGTTTAGAGACCTAGGAGTTACAAGTATTAAGCAAGAGAACTCCCAAGCGCTTTCCCCGCCACCCCAGGAAAAAAAAACGCAGTGGAAATTTAGTAGCATACATTGTCTATTTTGTCATTATGATGAAAAAATTTTTATTTAAAATTTTAATTTAAAGTGCAAAACCTATCTGTATTTTAACTAGGTATAATCATTTATAGCTTACAAAAGATCACTGTCTGCTTCTAAAAGCAAGTGGCTAACATTAATTACTTCAATTTTTCAATTTTTCTTTTTCTTTATTTCCTGATACTCTTCAACTGTCATGTAGCTGATTCTTATATGACCTTTTTTTTTTTCCTTCTTCTTCTTCCCAAAGCTAGAAGAAATGCCTTTTTCACAGTACTATATTAGGAATGCAAACATTTTATTGAAGTTTCCAGACAAACAACTGAGCGCACAGCTTCCCAAGCCAAAGTCATCCAAGACAAACCACAAGAACACTCAGTTATAAAGCAGAAATAAAATGTACAACTTTGGAAGACAGATCGTTCATTATTATCATTAAGAAATAAACAGTAGCTAGTTCTAAACAACTCAAGGACTCTCTTGAGCTATTACTTCAAAGATTTTGTTATACTGAAATATATTACTTACTGGCACAAGAAGTGTATAATGGATGCAGAATCCAGGTTCAGAAGGAAAATATTCATCAGACACAAATCTTATTCTGATTTGGTTTCCTTTTGAGATTTGTCTGCTTGGCACTGTACTGGAACCACACCAGCGCCCTAAAACGGTGCCATCACTTGGCTCTTCAACTTCTACAAAGTCATACCTGCACAGAAAAGAAAGAATCAATACACTGATACTACATTTTGCAAAGTTTTTTTTTTTTTTTTTTTTTTTTAATGTTAAAAGCATGCTAGAAAGGTCAGCTACTTTCAATTTAGGCTCCAAGTTGCTACTGGCTTAAATGCCTAATAAAATCCTGCAGTGAGGTTCAAAAAGTAAAGTAGAGCTAGCATTTTGTACAAATGATGAGTACGTTTTGTTTGTTCCTTTTATGGAAAACAAGTACAACATGTGGGATAGCACAGAATAAAGTCAGAGGAAAAAAAAATAAAAAAGGAATTGCCCAGTTGTGACACAGCAACAGGCACTGCAATATCACTGGAAATACTCTACACGTTGATGTGCCACCAAAGTTCAACAGCTTTATTTATTTATTTATTTATGCTGAACATTGCCTTCTTAAAGAGTGCTACAGGTCAAGAAGGTGAAGGAGGCTGAGGGAAACTTTTCCAGCAAGGCTTTTCCTACTGGCTASAGCACATTTTAAAGCTATGTATCCCAATGGGACATTTTTTGAGCAAAGGCCTAAACGCGCCATGTATCAGAAAGGCTGACATTTTGGTTACACTGACAAGAGATATATTGGCTGAGAGCTTTAAAAAAGTGAAGCATGTAAAGTTTGATTTAGTTTAATTGTTTTTTAATGTGTGGTCTGGATGTCTCTGGGGATCTGCAAACAACTTCAAAAAGCTCCCTGAAAGGTAACTACAAAAACTCAGTCAATTGGCATCAATAAGCCTAAATCTGCTATGGAAAGGTCCTCACTTCCACTGGAAAATGTTCAGGGGTTCTCAAGTCATAAAAACATTGAAAACGACCACTCTAGAAGGTGTGCCTGGTTTCAATATTTTAACCTGGTTCATGTCAGCTTCCCAGCTGYCCCCTGACAGAATAAACAGTGGGAATTTCAGGCCTTTTTCCCAGCTGTAGCTTGGGCAACCCAAGGCAACGGCAGCAGCGTTACTGGGCAAGCAAGGCGCCGCTGCCCCCGTTAAAGCACTGGGGACCTTGGAGCTGCAGCTTCCGAGTCAYCAGTTTATTTTTCACTTGCGACTAGTATCCTAAGGACAATCATGACACATCCCTGGGGAAGTTTTGAGCTTTCTATATTTTTATGGTCACTCTACAAATATAGCCATGTATTAAATATCTCCTCAAAACAATCCAAATTGGTAAATGCTACTGAACAGTCCTACCTCTCATGATAAGCACCTACTAGTATTTTAACCCCCTTGCCCCATACACACACTGCTAAACCTGCCAAGCAATATTTAATGTGAAAATTATTACCTCATAAACATTTTCTACTGAAGCTTTTTCTGGATTTTTTTTTCAGTAAAGCTAATCTTTATAATGATTCCCAGTTCCCTGGTTAGACAGCAAGCAATAAATTCTTGTGTTGCATGTTTGTGCAAGTCAGACTTGTACATTTATTATCTCTATTTAAAGGACCGATATTTTCTTTCCACTTAATTAAAAATGAATGCAATGAATATGCCCATTAACTGTGTTCAAAACCCATTACTGCCATGTACCAGGGCTTTAAATCTTGTTGAACTTATGATACTAATTACTTTATCACCATTTTTTCCCCATATACTAACCTAACTTCTTTAACTGATCAGGAGTGAAATTTTATGATAAGGTACACAACTTGTTATGAAGACAATGTTTACATTAATTGTATATAGCTTTGGGGCTGGCTGAACATATTGGTTTTGAGCCTTTTTTTTTTTTTTTTTTTTTTTAAGATCATGTTATGAAGCTTTTTTGAAGAGCAACTCACTCTTTTGTAGCTATGAAAGAATAATTCTCTACCTGCTTTTGTTTTGGAAAGAACAAACAAGTCAAGCATTGCATTTATGAACTTAAAGATTTTGTCCAGAAATTCAGTGCTTACACAGCTTACATGCTACTTTCCCCCTGCAGTCTTTGGTTTTCTAGTACTCCCGGAGGAAAAGAGTAGCTCAAATTCCACACAGTTTAAATCCTAGACCCTTAAAATGAATGCTAATGATTTCATTAGCTGAAAGGTAAGAAAGAAAAGAGAAAGGTTTTCTTTTTTCTTTTTGGTAAAACCCAAACAAAACTCAGCTTTCTGACATACAAGACAGGTTTGGCAAAGTTATCATTTTTTTTTTTTCTTCCCCTCTTATATTCAGTTCTTTTCTCCTTGATCATTTATGCAGCATTTGCAAGCAAGGTGCCCTTTGTAATCAAAATGCTTTGGGATTTTACGTGTTACCTTGATTGAGAAGCATCTCAATGWCGTTCAATGACTCTATACCCTATTACTGTTCTCACCAGAAACCCACCTGTTCCCAAGGGATCAGCACGGAGACACTCTAGACATGATGAAGCACTGAAATGTGCACAACTGCCAAAATTCCCATTTAGGGGATTTTCTAAACCTTCTCCATAAGCCAATCCAACCTAACTCTCTCCTGGCAATATGATATAGCACACAGAGCTCTAAGTGGATTATGATGATTCCTCCCTTTCTCTAACCTCTCCCTCGGGACCTATGGAGGATTTATGTTCTTTCATGTTCAACAAACAAGTCTGATGTTGTAGACACAATTTCTGTTCTCAAAAGGAAATATATGACATGCAACTACTGTGTTTTTTTCCTCTTAAACTGCTGGAGCTTAAACTTTTAAACAGGTGGAGCTTCCTGCATAAGACAGTAAGTCCACCATCAGAAAAAGGAATCTTTAGAAATTCCATCTACACCAATGGGAAAACAAAACAAAGCCTACCCCCTACAGTTTCCTAGCTATCCAATAATTTCTATCTAATAACTTTATTCCTGACAGTTATCCAGGCTAAATGGGTTGCAAGAGCTGGCCAAGAAAACCTTCTACAAAAAAAAAGCAACTACAAATTCCTAGCATTGCACGAGCTGGCTGAAGTCTGAACTTGCTGTGAAACATCCCAAAACAACCATGAGTTACAAGATTATGCTGCACAACTCAGAGGCTTCATATGCCAGGGCTAACGAACAGCAGGGACAAATCACGGCCATTCAAAATTACTTCCCCATCAAGCAAATGTTATAGTTGAAAGCCAAGTATACAAGGATAAACAATTAAGAGACCACATATCAAAATGACCAGAGAAACGAACCAATGCTGTAGCTATTTTCTAGACATCGTTCAAATATTACTAAGTAGAACTGAGAACTACAGGCAGCTCTCTCACCTTTGCTGGTATGAAAGATATCCTTGCCTTTAGTCATGCAGGATCAGCCCTTATTGTTCCCCGATATCTGGTGCTCTACACACATTCCTTTTCTCTATCATCTAGGAGTCTGGGACCATGGATAGAACTAACAGCCCATGCAAAGAATTTCTTCAAAAGGGGAAAARCAGCAGTGTAAATGATTCCAAAGTTCAAGGGCTTGCCAGCCAGGAAATGTATTTTCCAAGGGTTTTTTTCCCTCTCCTTTCTATATTTTTATGTGGTTTACACTGCCATTTGCAAAACAGCCTCTGACAGGCTGTTTACCTTGGCTTACAGTTTGGTGACCTTTGCATGGCTTCCCTCTGCCTTCAGAATTCCACAAATCTATCAATGAATGTAAGAAGCAGAAATCCACATGGTTAAAAAGTTTGTTATATCGGAGATGCTAGATTTTTCCATCTTCATACAGATCTGTGGTGGACATAATTAGTATATCCTTTAAAACAGTTAGGGAAGGGTGAATTGCATTTTTCATTCTCCTTCAATAAGCACCAACTTTTTTTCCTTTTTTTTTAAATGAAGAAATAGGGTGTTGATAACAATTCTTGACATTTATTTGGCCTGCCTTGGGACACTGCAATATTTCACTGCATTTCAGAGTCCGTGGAAGTCCGTGGCACATTTTCATGCTGCCAGGAGAGCACACTGAACTAACTACCTCAAACTCAGACCAAAAGCATCCAAGGTCCCCTGGGAGTCCCCAGGCAAATTGCTTTTGAACAGAACTTAGAGGCTTTGTATTTGTAGGGCAGCTTATTTTTGGAAGCACTGGAAGTTATTAGAAATGGTCATCCTGAAAGCATCATTTTGTATTTTTTCTAAATACTGTCATTCTGAAGGAAAATTTCCTCTCCCCAATCATCTTACTTTCAAAGCATTTTCATTTTTGCTACCTAAATGTTTCATTTTCTACAGAGCAMACAATTTAGTTTTCAGCATTTGATTCAGCCGTGCATTTGTGGAAAGCCAAATGTCAGAGCACTGGTAACACATCACATGGATTCCACCTCTTAGGTCTCTTTCCAGTCACAGCTGTAAGTCATCATGTTGGTCTTTGTGAAATAAAGATTTATTCACATATAGRAGAAATTAGGGCCTAAAATGTAGCTCAAAGACAGTTTTTCAAAGCTTGCCTGTCTCTCTTGCAACAAATTCTAAAAGTCTTTTCCAATTGACTTCCAGTGCTCCCAGAACACTTTAACAGGCTGATTCCGAATCATCTGGGTGACAATTGGATCACCGGGGCGAGAATGGGGGTGCTCAAAAGGTGGGTGGGTGCTGGAGGGCAGCTTGTTGCTGCCTACCACTCAGCACAAACCGTGTGGTCTTCAGCAGAAACATGGAGGGGACCAGGGGAACAAAGCCTCTGGCAGTGGGCAAAGAAGGAGGACCCTGAAAATGGGAAAAGTGTTAGGTGAGGGAGTTTCAAGCCACAAGCTTGGCCTACACTAACCTTATAAAAATACAGACCTAAAAAGAAGGGTGTAGTGCTCTATTCATTCAATAGGTGGAGAACTTTCTTCTTTTCTATTACCAACATCTCTCCTTTCACTGAGCCTAAAATTTTCCCTCAAAACTGATATACACAAAAATCAAGATAGTTGGGAATAGCCAAGAACTTCTAAAGAACTTCTTCACTGTGAGGGTGCCAGAGCCCTGGAACAGGCTGCCCAGGGAGGCTGTGGAGTCTCCTCCTCTGGAGATCTTCCAAACCCGCCTGGATGCCGCCCTGTGCCACAT